ATAGCTCTGTGACATTCACCTGTTACACTACACAGGACCATGCCTTCTCTGGGCCTTTTTACTGAGGCAGCAGTACCCTTCAGATCATGGAAAACTTTGGATTGGTCCCTCAACATGTTATTGAACCCTGAAGCTTTGCTTTCATCTTTTAGTTTCATGAACACTGTCCTGTAAATGGACCCAGTGGCACCCATATTTATCAATTCTTGAAGGATAACAAAAACATCAGTTTAGTAAGGGAGCCCTAAGTCTGCCAAAAGAGATTGACATTGGTTTTCCTTAATTCACCCGTCTTTTCAAATATAATCATTAGAACAAAGAGACAATTCGAAGAGGAATTCTCAGGAGGGAAGAAAACAAGATAGAGGTTATAATGTTTGAAGTATGTTAAGCACTCAAAGGTCACACCTTACATTTTTCTCTCTGTCTCAGAATACACACTGTCCGAATTATTTTTGATATGAGATTATTAACTGCCTCTGTTGTTCCATTTAGAACTATGACAATGTGGTTTCTGCTGATTAGTGCTACCCAACAAGCTACCACCAAGATCACAAATGTCCTCCACTATCCCAAAGCATTGAGGTGTTTCATTGCATGTCTTCCAAAAATGCATCAATTCCTATTCTAAGCCAATTTATCATTTAAAATACATATTTATACTGCCATTTTCTCTTTCTTCCTTCTAATAGCAGGGTCTTCCACCTCTGGACTTTAAGAAAATATCCCATATTTGGAATGAATTCAGACCAATCTGAGAAGATCACTAGATATTGGATCAAGGAAAAAGGCAGAGAGTTCTTTGCACTTGGGAACTGAGTCTCCTGCCTGAGGCATTGGTATGCATGCAAGCACATATTATAACGTGTGAGAAATTCATCTATTTTGTTTAAATAAAATTATTATACATGTTTTGAGAATGATTTTTTTTTATAAAATCTAAATACCAACATACAGACATAAGAACAAAGTTAAATATATCCAGCTGATCATTGACTAAAATTTATTTTTCTTTGCTTTCACTTTAAAAGCAATCATTGTTAATTTTGTGCTTTGGTTTGAGGTTGAAGAAACAACTTCCCGGGGATTCCAAGATGGCGGGCCAGAGGGAGGCAGCATCCTGAGTTGCTCCCTGAACCAGATCTCACCTAGTTGGAATACTGCATCTCAGAGAGTGCAAGAGCACCCCTAGACAGCTGATTTCTGCAGAAATCACCAGCACTGTGAACCCCGCGCAGGGCTCAGAGCCTCAGTCTTCCAGTAGGACTCCATAAATGACCTCACAATACATCTCAAAGCCCTAGAAGAAAAGAACAAATCAGCAGGAAAAGCAGTAGAAGGAAATAAATAATTAAAATTGGAGCTGAAATCAATGCAATCCAAACCAAAGACAGAATTGAAATAGTTGACTAAACAAAAGGATGGGTCTTTGAAAAAAACAAATAAAGTTCACAGACCCTTCGATATGATAATGAAGTGATGGACAGAAAAAAAAACTCCAATTACCTGCATATGTGATGAAAAAGGTCATATCACAAGGGACACTACAGAATTACAGAGGAAAATTAGAAATTGTTTTGAAAACTCATACTCCAATAAAATAGAGGACATGGAAGGCATCAACCAGTTTCTTAAGTCATATGATTTGCCCAGATTGAATCAGGAAGATATACACAATTTAAGCAGACCAATATCAAGGGATGAAACAGAAGACACCATCAGAAGCTGACCAACCAAGAAAAGCCCAGGACTTGATAGATACACAGCCGAGTTCTACAGGACCTTTAAAGAAGAACTAATACCAATACTCTACAATTTATTTCAGGAAATAGAAACAGAGGCAGCACATCCAAAACCATTCTATGAGGCCAATATCACCCTGATCCCAGTTACCAGGCAAAGACACATCAAAGAAAGAAAACTTCAGACCAATATCTCTAATGAACCTAGATGCAAAAATTCTCAATACCATCCTGGCAAACCGATTACAAAAACATATCAAAAAGATTGTGCACCATGATCAAGTGGGATTTATCCCAGGGATGCAAGTTTGGTTCAACATACAGAAATCAATAAATGCAATTCATCACAGCAATAGACGCAAAGATAAGAATCACATGATCATCTCAATAGATGCACAAAAAGCATTTGACAAAATACAGCACCTTTCCATGTTCCAAACACTAGAAAAACTAAGGATAACAGGAACATATCTCCACATCCTAAAGGCTATCTACCATAAGCCTCAGGCCAACATCATTCTCAATGTTGAAAAATTAAAGGCATTCCCTCTAAAAACCGGAACAAGACAGGGATGCCCTCTTTCACCACTTCTGTTTAACATAGTTCTTGAAACAGTGGCTAGAACAACTAGAAATTAAAGGGATATGTATAGGAAAAGAAGAACTAAAATTAGCACTATTTGCTGACTCTATGATTCTATACCTAGAAGATCTAAAAAGCTCCACCAGGAAACTTCTAGAACTAGGAAATGAATTCAGCAAAGTGGCAGGATATAAAATCAACCCCCATAAATCAATGGCATTTCTGTACATCAGTGACAAATCCGCTGAAAGTGAAACTAGGAAAAGCACCCCATTTATAAGAGCCTCAAAAAAAATTCTTAGGAATAAATTTAACAAAAGAGGTAAAGACCTCTGCAATGAAAACTACAACATGCTAAGGAAACAAATTAAAGAAGACCTTAGAAGATGGAAAGATCTACCTTGTTCTTCGATAGGCAGAATTAATATTGTCCAAATGACCATACTACCAAAAGCACTGTAGAGATTTGATGCAATTCCAATCAAAATCCCAATGGCATTCCTCATAGAAAGAGAAAAAGCCATCATAAAGTTCATCTGGAAAAACAAGAGACCCAGCATAGCCAAAGCAATCCTTAGCAAGAAGAATGAAGCTGGCGGCATTACCATTCCAGACCTAAAACTATACTACACGGCAATAGTGACTAAAACCGCATGGTATTGGCACCAAAATAGATCTGTACACCAATGGTACAGAATAGAGGACACAGAGTCTAACCCACATAACTTCAGTTATCTTATATTAGACAAAGGCGCCAAAAAAATGCACTGGAGAAAAGATAGCCTCTTCGAAAAATGGTGCTGGGAAAACTGGATATCCACATGTCACAAAATGAAATTAAAAATCTATCACTCACCATGCACAAAACTCAACTCCATGTGGATCAGGGACCTAGGAATTAAACCAGAGACTCTGCATCTAATAGAAGAAAAAGTAGGACCTACTTCATCATGTGGGATTAGGCCCCAACTTCCATAAAAAGACCACTATAGTGCAATAATTAAAACCAAGAATCAACAAATGGGATGGAATCAAACGAAAATATTTCTTTTCCAAAAAAAAAAGAAAAACAGTGAGGTGAACAGAGAGCCTATATCCTGGGAGCAAATATTCACCCCTCACACATCAGATAGAGCACTAATCTCTAGGGTATATAAAGAACTCAAACAGAAAAGCTCCAAAAATAAATAAAATAAAAACAAATCAACAAATGGGCCAAGGACCTGAACAGACACTTCTCACAAGAGGATATACATTCAATCAACAAGTATACGAAAAAATTTTCATCATCTCTAGCAATTAGAGAAATGCAAATCAAAACTGCTCTAACATATCATCTCATTCCAGTCAGAATGGCAGCTATTATGAAGACAATAGTGTTGGCAAGGATGTGGGGGAAAAGTTACTCTCATCCACTACTGGTGGGACAGCAAATTGGTGCAGCCAATGTGGAAAGCAGTATGGAGATTCCTTGGAAATCTGGGAATGGAACCACCATTTGACCCAGTTATCCCACTGCTTAGTCTATACCCAAAGGACTTAAAATCAACATACTACAGGAACAGAGCCACATGGATGTTTATAGCAGCACTATTCACAATAGCCAAACTGTGGAGCCAACCTAGATGCCCTTCAGGGGAAGAATGTATAAAAAAAATGGGGCACATACATACACTGCAATTTTACTCTGCAATAAAAGAGAATAAAGTCATGGCATTTGCAGGTAAATGGATGGCATTAGAGAAGATAAGGGTAAATGAAGTTAGCCAATGCCAAGAAAACAAATGCCCAATGTTTTTCCTGATATAAGGAGGCTGATGCATATTGGGGTCAGAAGGGGGAGCATGGGAGAAATAGATGAATTCTAGAAAGGGCAGAGGGGTGGGAGGGAAAGGGAGGGGGGCAGGGGATTAACAAGGATGGTGGTGGAATGTGATAGACATCATTATCCAAAGTACATGAATGAAGACACAAATTGGTGTCAACATACTTTATACACATCCAGAGATATGAAAAGTTGTGCTGTATATGTGTAATAAGCATTGTAATGAATTCCACCGTTATTTATATTTTTAAAAAATCAACAACTTCCACAATGCATTTAGGAAGTTGTTTTCATGCTTGTCTTTCATCATATTAATACCTCCATTCATTTTCCCTTAATCTCATCTTGTCTGAAAGTGACACCACTAAGTTGACTGGAAAATGCAAAAATAAAGATGTGCATGAAATGAGAAGTCCTCATAGAAATCAGCATTTACAACTAAAATTTCAATTTTGCTACTCAAATTAAGAATGGGAAATAATAAAAAATGTATTTACCGCACCCCTCATCCATATCCAAGAATAAAAGGAGTTTCAAAACTTAAGAAGTTTATACAATAAAATTGCAATGAAGAAAGCAAACTAAATTGACTATATAAAAATGCTTTGTTTTATTAATCATACTCTAAAGGTATACATAGTATATGAACAAAATAAATTAAATCTTATGAATAGTTAATTAAATGAATATTTAAATAGATAAATACATCTGCAGGCAGGTAAGGGACTGGTGCCTATAGAAACGCATCATTGACTGAAAACATACAATGAATGGAGGGAATTCTTGTCCCAAGGAGCCATGAGAGTTTTTGAAATGGCAGAACTTGTGCGAGTGTGGCAAGGTGTGTTCATCAGGGAGAAGCATTTCCCTGCTGGACCAGGTCTCGTTCCATGCTCCTTAATCTTTCATATAACTTAGGTGAAGAAGACAAGAATTTCATGATTTCTGTTCTGACCATCTCCCAGGCACAAGGCAGGTATTCATTCTCCTTCAGGTAATCAGTGATCCTGCGGAAGTATTTTCTAACAGTTATTCCGAGAGCTTTTTGCTGCGTCACCTGGTGGGTCACACAGGCTTTCAGGTCTTCCAAGTGCTGATGGAGGCCACTGAGGAAGGTGTCCAGGAGGGTCTTGTTCCAAGCAGCAAAGGCCTCCTGGGTGCCGAAAAGGCGGAAGATCTGGTGGGTCATCTCCTGGAGCACAGCAACAGCTTGAGCCCTCGGCACCTTCTCACCCTCCAACAGCTTCTGGGGGAAGGCAAAGTCCTTTCTGTCGTTCAGGCAGCAGAAAGTGGGAATTCTCCTCATTTTTTGCAGGAGAGTCAGTGCCCCCTCCTCATTTTTCTCAGGAGTTTCAAGACCCAGGTTGTGTATCTGAGGCAGGTCACAGCCCAGAGAGCAGGTGTTCTTGCAGCTGAGCACCACCAGGGCCAGCAGGAAAGCCAAGGGCAAGGCCATTGGGGATCTTGCAGATGCTGCTGTGGTGTCTGAGATGGGTGATGCTCAGTCCTTGCTCCAGGGTCTCTGAAGACCTTGCTTTGTGTGGATACCTAAAAGAGAGAACACAGTAGTGCGATTTTATGAATGCCAATGCCTTTTGTTTTTGCTTTCCTTTATACATTCTCTACTTTGGTTTTCAGCAATGTTTCTAAACCATTCTAGTTTTCATTATTGCCTCCACGTCCAATGTTACCCTTTCCTATCAGAGCCTTTTTACAAATTTATTTCTTATTGAAAATGTCATTAAATTTCACTTAGGATATTTATCCTTCATATTTGTATAGGTAGCGTATCTATATCTGTGTATATCAAAATTATGAACTTATGTTTTTATTCAATATAGAGTTATAAATGACAATATTTAAGCTGTTACACTTTAAATTTTTTGAAATTTAAATGATCTTTATATCTGTATTTGTAATGACTTCATTCACTTTAAGTTAATTGTGATATGATAAATTACAGTGACTATAAATTTTCAAAATATATTATAAAACTGAGATAATCTGATCTTCCAATGCGATTATAAAACCTTTCTTAAAAGGATGAAATAATGTTAGATTGTTTTCTTTGCAATGATTTTTAGTACTTTGCATGATATGAGAAAATTATTAAAATAAAATAAAAATAATTTTTAATCTCTACAGTAGCTCAATTTTGTTGTGTATTTTACAAAATTATTGACATGACTTTAACTCGTGTAAGACATTTGGAAGTATCTGAAGATAGGGCAGAAACAGCAAGTGCAACAGAATTAGAAATGGAGCCTGCGAGGGCTGGGGTTCTGCCTCAGTGGTAGAGCACTTGCCTAGCAGGTGTGAGGCCATGGGCTCCATCCTCAGCACCACATAAAAATAAATAAATATAAAGCTATTGTGCCCAACTACAACCAAAAAGTAAATGTTTGGAAAAGAAATGGAGCCTGAGAGTATGACTGAATGACTCCAATCTCATGATAAAACTTTAATCTGTTCCTGCTCAGATGTGGGGTTCAGTCCTTGGATTAAAAAAAAAAAAACAGAAAGAAAGAAAAACAAAACTCAGAAAATATCTTCCTAATTTCAAATCTTCAGTCAATAAAGTATTGTGCCATTTGAAATGCAAGTGTTTGTTCAGTGTTCATAAAGCTTCTAATATTTTGAACCCATCATATTTGTAAGAAAACTGTGGGTTGCAGAGTTTCAGAGGGTTGTGCTACATCACACATAAATCCTGGCAGAAATCCTAGTACAATTCTTCATCCTAATTGATGACTGATGACTAATGACTAATTTTGTATTCTTGAATTTAAGATGTCTCTAATAATTGTTCAGTTCATTTATCTTCACATTGTAAACAATATCCTTGCTCTAAGGATTTGCAAGGGGATATTTTTGTTTCCAGGAAGGGTAGAGTTTTGGAGTACCAGAAACCACTGTAGTGCCTAAGATTCATTCATACCTCCAAAGATTTTTTTGTAAATGTAGGTGATAGATCTGGACGACTTGGGTTTCAGTAATGCACTTTCCAGCCTCTGGGCGGCGCTTGGGCACCACTAAGAAGTGAAACTGCACAAGAGGCAGAGTCAGGCTTTTCTGCCTCCTTCGCCCGTGATTGGGAGATGTTTGGGGCTTTCAGTTTCCAGTTGCCCTCTGTAGTTGGAGGGAAACACCCTGGCTTGCCTGTCAACTTGCTGCCCCTTAAATACTCCACAAGGCTCTCTCTGTCGGAAGTTAGGTGGACACTTTACCCGCACTTTGGGGACGAAGATCTTTCTTGGGTGCAAGTGCAAATGTTACCCATTCTCAATATTGCTCTACCCTTGGGGCTTTCCCTCTGGGGTGAAGTGTGTGTCAGCGGAAGGGGATTTTGTTTTTTCTTTGACTAAACATTTTTTCAGCGTTTTGAGGACTAGACGTCTTTCGGTTTGTGACTATAGAGATTACGTGTGTTTGGAGAAGTGCCCGCAGCACTTGGAGAAGGGGAAAGACGGAGACAGTTCTGCGGACCAGGAAGGACCAGAATTGCTGACCAGTGCAGGGGAGCTGGAGAAGCGCCCTTTCCCTAGAGCCCCAGGAGGGAGACAGCGCCTCTCTAGGGATGCTTTTAGTATTTTTCAGTGATTTCGTTTTCAATGGGATGGCCTTGAAGAAATTTGAAAACATAAGTAAGGCGTGTTATCATCATATTATTATCACGAGTTCTTTAGTGAAAAATCGGTTTGGTGCCTGGCGTTGGGGCTTAGCAAGAGAGCGCTCGCCTGGCAAAGGCAAGGCATTGGGTTCAATCCTCAGCACCACATAAAATAAATAAATAAAATAAAGGTATTGTGTGCAACTGCAGCTAAAATGTGTGTTTATGTGTGTATGTGTATATGTGGTGTGTGTGTGTGTGTGTGTGTATATATCGTTTTTTCACTAAAGCATTAAATAAAATGAGTTAAATTTTTATTCATACTGAAAGAAAAATTTTATATCCTTTTACTGTTCTAGCTTTAGAAGAAATGAAGTCAACGATATTTTCAGGATGACCTCTTTTTCAATGGATTCGATAGACGGGTTCTACAATTTCTCGTGGGTTACAACTTTTGGGACTTTTTATTGAATTTGAAGGTACTGAAACTTCGTGCACAAGGAACCAGGAAGTATCAGCATGAACAAATACATTTCTGTGATTTAACTTATAACCTAACAATTAGTTATAAACAACTGAAACACCTGAATTTCAACAGCTGAAGGAAATATAGAAACCAGCTGACAAATCAAGGAAAGTGGATTTCAAAACCACAATCCTTGAATCAGAATCTTGGGCTATCTTTATATTTGATAGAAATATATGGTTTCCAAATGCTCCTGGGAAAATGTATGGATGAGTGGTCAGAGAAGTCTTTTATCATACTGAATTATATACTTATCATGATATGCTGTAATGTTGAACTTGGAAAACAGAAAGTCTCAGAGAAGTGCTGCAGGATCTAGAGGCCAGATGTGCGGTGGGATCTTTCAGGTTGGATATTATGGACCGATGACTGGCTCACTTTTCACTTTTCTGATCCCATAGCTCCATTCTCAAGAATACTCTCTGACTCTTCCATAGCTCTGTGACATTCACCTGTTACACTACACAGGACCATGCCTTCTCTGGGCCTTTTTACTGAGGCAGCAGTACCCTTCAGATCATGGAAAACTTTGGATTGGTCCCTCAACATGTTATTGAACCCTGAAGCTTTGCTTTCATCTTTTAGTTTCATGAACACTGTCCTGTAAATGGACCCAGTGGCACCCATATTTATCAATTCTTGAAGGATAACAAAAACATCAGTTTAGTAAGGGAGCCCTAAGTCTGCCAAAAGAGATTGACATTGGTTTTCCTTAATTCACCCGTCTTTTCAAATATAATCATTAGAACAAAGAGACAATTCGAAGAGGAATTCTCAGGAGGGAAGAAAACAAGATAGAGGTTATAATGTTTGAAGTATGTTAAGCACTCAAAGGTCACACCTTACATTTTTCTCTCTGTCTCAGAATACACACTGTCCGAATTATTTTTGATATGAGATTATTAACTGCCTCTGTTGTTCCATTTAGAACTATGACAATGTGGTTTCTGCTGATTAGTGCTACCCAACAAGCTACCACCAAGATCACAAATGTCCTCCACTATCCCAAAGCATTGAGGTGTTTCATTGCATGTCTTCCAAAAATGCATCAATTCCTATTCTAAGCCAATTTATCATTTAAAATACATATTTATACTGCCATTTTCTCTTTCTTCCTTCTAATAGCAGGGTCTTCCACCTCTGGACTTTAAGAAAATATCCCATATTTGGAATGAATTCAGACCAATCTGAGAAGATCACTAGATATTGGATCAAGGAAAAAGGCAGAGAGTTCTTTGCACTTGGGAACTGAGTCTCCTGCCTGAGGCATTGGTATGCATGCAAGCACATATTATAACGTGTGAGAAATTCATCTATTTTGTTTAAATAAAATTATTATACATGTTTTGAGAATGATTTTTTTTTATAAAATCTAAATACCAACATACAGACATAAGAACAAAGTTAAATATATCCAGCTGATCATTGACTAAAATTTATTTTTCTTTGCTTTCACTTTAAAAGCAATCATTGTTAATTTTGTGCTTTGGTTTGAGGTTGAAGAAACAACTTCCCGGGGATTCCAAGATGGCGGGCCAGAGGGAGGCAGCATCCTGAGTTGCTCCCTGAACCAGATCTCACCTAGTTGGAATACTGCATCTCAGAGAGTGCAAGAGCACCCCTAGACAGCTGATTTCTGCAGAAATCACCAGCACTGTGAACCCCGCGCAGGGCTCAGAGCCTCAGTCTTCCAGTAGGACTCCATAAATGACCTCACAATACATCTCAAAGCCCTAGAAGAAAAGAACAAATCAGCAGGAAAAGCAGTAGAAGGAAATAAATAATTAAAATTGGAGCTGAAATCAATGCAATCCAAACCAAAGACAGAATTGAAATAGTTGACTAAACAAAAGGATGGGTCTTTGAAAAAAACAAATAAAGTTCACAGACCCTTCGATATGATAATGAAGTGATGGACAGAAAAAAAAACTCCAATTACCTGCATATGTGATGAAAAAGGTCATATCACAAGGGACACTACAGAATTACAGAGGAAAATTAGAAATTGTTTTGAAAACTCATACTCCAATAAAATAGAGGACATGGAAGGCATCAACCAGTTTCTTAAGTCATATGATTTGCCCAGATTGAATCAGGAAGATATACACAATTTAAGCAGACCAATATCAAGGGATGAAACAGAAGACACCATCAGAAGCTGACCAACCAAGAAAAGCCCAGGACTTGATAGATACACAGCCGAGTTCTACAGGACCTTTAAAGAAGAACTAATACCAATACTCTACAATTTATTTCAGGAAATAGAAACAGAGGCAGCACATCCAAAACCATTCTATGAGGCCAATATCACCCTGATCCC